ACTGTATATACAGTGTATATCACAGTAACTGTATTTACAGTATATATCACAGTAACTGTATATACAGTGTATATCACAGTAACTGTATACATCATAGTAGAAATTTATCATAAATGTAAAGATAATGTAATTTTTAGAGATTTATTTTGCAGAAAACTGTAATCTTAATCAAAGCCAGCATTTTTGCTTTAATATCTGCCTTCCATACAATGAGCTTCTGCTGCTGCTCTCATCTTCATTATCTTCATCATCAGAGCAGAACTGTTTCATTAACAAGATGGATTTATGACTGAATGAACGTCCACATCTTTTTATCATCTCTGTGGGTAAAAATACATAAATAAAATCAAGGTTTTTCTACAACAACTTGGGTGAAAAAAACTACAGTTGTTAAAGCTTCACTCTGTGTGACGTGCAGCAGGAGAGTGGGGGAGGGTGATCCATACGTAACTTTTCTACAGCAGGAGGAGGAAATGTTGAGGAYTGATTCTCTCTGTACGTGTTTTARACTCTATATTTCTTTATTATGTTTCAAACTGATCCTGCTCAGGTGTGTSTGCACTCACAGCCCTGCTGAMACAGGTGTGATGATGTMACTGATGACAGGACAGTAGAGGCTACAGTTCTACTGTCTAATCTAATGTAATGTAATGTAATCTAAGCTCTCAGCCCTATGCACTGTGTGTTCAGTTGGTGGGCTGCTGACCTGCAGTCAGGTCGTACACGGCGGTGCAGGACAGCCTCTTCAGCAGTGCTGGTTCTGACAGTCTCAGCTCCACACACGGGTCGTCCATCACAGTGAAGCCGCCCTGCTTCTGGTAGCAGAACTTAGCGTTGCCGTGGCTACAGTCAGCACCAGAAGCCAGAATGTGCAGACGTAATATTTCTGAAAGTGTACAGCTGTCCAGGTCCAGCTGTTTTAACGTGCAGCCCTGATGCAGCTGAGGCCAGGCTGCAGCCAGGGTGGCTACAGCAGTCAGAGCTGAGCGAGTGGGATCAGAGTCATCATCCAGAACCTCCCGCAGGTCTGCAGACACACAACAACACAAACACACACACAGAGTGAGCTGAACACAAAGAACCATCTGCAGGTTAGGATCATCAGATATTGTCCAAGATTAACCTTCAGGGTGGATATAGCTCGCTAGCAGCCTCGCACCGAGGACCTATCCACGTCATCATTTACCCAGA